TGAGCAGCAGCTCAGTCTCACAAGGCTGGGGAGTAAAAGAAATAAAATAATAAAAAATAGATTTCAGGACTACCAAGTCAGCCAAAACCTAAAGGACCAAGAACCTAGAGCAAAGGGAACCACAGGGAATAGAGTCGTTCTGTGCCTCTTTCTCCCCTCGAGGCGTTGCCAGTAGTGAAGTTGTGTGGGACCGGAGCCTGAGAAACCAAGCTGAAAACAGAGGGTGAGAGGGTGAAAGGCTGGACCGAGCTTCTGGCAATCTCACCAGGCAGGGAAGACAGAAATCGGAGATGAGAGCCTGCAAGGAAGAGGAGCCTCAGTTGGCGCCCAGCTATCCTGTGAGAAGGGCTATGCCCTGTAACTAAGGGCCAACAAGAGCTAGCCAGTTGTCATGAAGACTGAAGTGCAGCCCCAAGCATCCCCATCACCATTTGGAACAAGGTGTGTGCCCTGCTCTACCCACCTCCCAGGAGAGGACAGATGCCTCTCTGTGTAAGGACAGCCTCACCTGGAGCCTCTGCACCTTTGGCATCCACAGTGTCCACAGTTACCAGGCATGCCAGGAGACAGGACCAAATGACCCAAGAGAGAATAAGAGAGGAAACAGACAGTAGAAATAGGCCCACATGTTGTCCTAATGTCACTAGGCGTAGACATAGTCTTTAAAATAACTGTGATGAATAATTGCAGGAAGAGAGATGACAAGATGGAGAATTTCACCTGCAAACTAGAACTTCTAAAAAAAGGACTCAGAAATTCTAGAACTGAAAAATACACTAACTGAAATGAAGAACCTAATATATGATTCAAACAGACTAGACACAGCAGAAGAGAGGAGGGACAAGGTGGTATCCATCTCAAGAAGTTGGAAAGATGAGAAGAAAGGAAATAAGGAAGGTGAGAGCAGGAACTGATGAAATGGAAGGCTTAGCCGTGTCTACGTAGAAGGAGCAGGAGGCGGAAGTGTGGGTCAGAGTGCTGGCTTTGCCACCATCTTGCTGTGTGACCTTGGACAAGCCATTTGCCTTCTCTGAACCTCAGTTTCCCATTTCAGGGAAACAAGCATGGTTACCCATTTGGCCCAGTTGATGTTAGGGTCACACAGAGGACAGTGTGGCAGCTCTTTATCAGAAGTGCTGATATTGCCACCAACCTGCCGTGCTCAGTCATTTCACCGACAACCATAACGCAGGAGGCTCCGCAAAGAGCTAGGAGGGCGTCCCAGCCTTGGCATGGCTACTGTGTGGTTCAGCAGGCGAAAATGGAACATTCAGACACCCATCCTGTTCATTCACTTGGTTTTCCAAGCATCTGAAACAATTCCTCGCTCAGTGGCTGGTAATTGCCGCCATCTCCCTATTGCCAAGGGAGTTCGTCTTCATTAGGGACCCTCCTTAGGGAAATCCTTGCTTTCTGAGTCCTTGAAAGGGCGCTGACATGTGTCAACATTGTGCTGGTGACCCCACTAGGCTGTCACACACATGGTCTCCGTGCCTCCTCCAATATTCCAGCGCGTGGCCGTGAGGTGACTGCCGCTCTGCAGACGGGACAGGGAGCCGTGTCCTCGCCCCTCCCTCTCCCCTTCTCTTTGTTTTGGGGAGTGGTGCCGGCCTCCCTCACCGCACACATTGGCGCGCAAAGCTCTTTGGCCTGTGGCGTCTTGGCCTGGGTTCCATTTCGAGGAGCCAGGGCTGGCGTCCCCATGTGTTGCCGGCTGCCTCACTAACAAGTACAGGGAAGTCACGCATCCCTCGCTTCTTCCCTGGGGCCGGGGAAGGGGTGGAGGCGGGTTCTTGCTTTTCCACTGCAGGTTTTTCCTGAGCTTTTGAAAGTGCTAATTAATTCCAGCCCAGAAGCCGGGGCTGGGAGGTGGGGTTCAAATGAGCACCCTGGCCCCAGATGTGTCTCCCAGGACGTGCCAGATGGACAGGAGGAGTGTGTTGCCGTCCCCTCGCTCCTGCATCTCAGCCTTGCCCTCTGTCCCAACTCTCACCCCACCCCCAGCATCAGCTTAGAACATTCCTGTCTCTCTCAGGGAGCCAGGACTTCGCTGGGAGCCTGACCTCTCATTCAGAACCCTATTCGATCAATGCAGTTCAACAGCCATCTGTGTAAGTGAGCTTGTTTCTGCCCTTGGCATCAGGTTACAGAGTCAGTAAGAACATCATGATCCCTGCTCATTGCAAAGACAACTGTAGTGAGACTGTGTCACTCTTCTGCTCAGACCCTCCAGCAGGTCTCATGTACTCAGAGAAGACCTAATCTTGATAATGGCTTCCACAGCCCCGCACGCTCTCTGCCCCACCCACATACAGGCCTTCTCCTCTCTGATCCCATCCCCTGCTCCTCTCTTCCACACTGATCCAGGCAGACCAGCATCCTTTCTCCCAAAGGCACGGGGGCCTTGCGGATGCCTGGAAAGCTCCCACTGTAGAATCTTTCATGATGTATCCTAGCCACACAGCCCAGGACCTGGCGCGGCGTAGGCCCCAGCAAATATGCAGTGAGTAATATCAAATGAATGGACAGACCTTGCTTGGTTGACAGCCCCAAGAAGTGAGCAGAATAGGTGTTATCAGCTCCATTTTCCAGTTGAAGGAATGGTTCAGAGAGGGTAGGTAACTTGTTCACAGCCACACAGCCAATGGGTGACACAGCCCAGTGAGAGTCAGAATCTTCCAACCCTTAGTCTGTGCTTTCTTGCTGAGATCTCGCCTCTGAATTGTTGGCTCTTGCCTTTCCCTACATTCACTTCTGCATTTCTTCATGCCATGCGTGTGCCAGGTGACAGGGTCACAGCAAAGAAGGAGACTGAGTTTCTAACCTCATGAAGCTCCCAGCCCAGGGAGGAGACAGAGAAGTAAACAGTGCAGGCAGAGTGGAGCCAGGGCACTGCGGGAGTCAGGAGAGGCCCCTACTCACGCGAGGAGTGGGCAGGCCTTCCTCCAGGAGTCAGCGCTAGCTACGCTCTGAAGAATGAGTAAGAACGAAGCAGAATGGGATGGATTTTCCAGACAGTGGGGACAGCCTGGGCAGAAGGCCAGAGGCAGGAGCAACTGTGACCTCTGGATCAGTCATGTTGCTTCAAGTTACAAGTAATCTGCTGTGTTTACATAATAAAGGAGATTTATTCTCCCATGTCACTAAAAAGTCAGGGTGTAGGGTGGGCTACAGGTACGGCTAGATCAGGGAGTTAGCACCATTTGCCCGGGCCCTGTTCACCTCTCGCCTCTTCCACATGAGCTAGCAAAATGGCCAGCACAACCCTGACTTCCACATGCAAACATCAAACCAGCCACAGCAAAAGAAAATCTCTTCCCTCCCTACCAAAGCCAGGGGGTTCACTCTGATTTGATGAATTAGGACACATACCCATCCCTGGACCAATTACTGTGGTAAGAGGGGCGGGAAGCCTGTGCAGGCCAAGTTAAATCAGAGCCTGCCCTTGAAGATAGGCAAGTTAATCTAACTCAAATGACAGAGCTGCTTCTGATGGTGGCGCAGGGGCCGGCTGGAAGGGACAGCTGTGGACACCACTAGGTATTAAATACAAGCCGGGTTGTTGTGAAAAATGAAAAAAGGAGCAGTGGGCAAATCAAAATGACCTTGCCCACTGAGCTGGGGAGCTGAGGAAGCTGTAAGGGGTTGCGCCAAGCACATCTTGAACCCCAGAGGTCTCCCAGAAGGCTCTGTGGATTTAATCTGATTTTCCAGCTGCCCCTCTTTCTACCAAAAGGTAATCAATCTCCCTCCAGCTGTCACTTTCCTGGAAAAGCTGAATCCTGCTTGTTGACGATCTGCACATTGAGGATGGAGAGGAATTGGTCAGACAGATAGAGATGGGGGCACATTCCATGCAGAGTCCAGAGTCACCAGGCTGCAGAGGGGCGACCACAATTGCACGGGAGCCTCCAGAAGTCAGGCACGTCTGGGGTCTTGTGTTATGGGCATCTGAGGAGCCCCCATTTACCCTGTTTGATTAAATATATCTCTTTCTCTATATCCCTCAACTGTGGTCATCTGAAGACCAGTTCACAGATGGGGTGTCACTTCCAGAGCAGAGCCCCGCACCCCCATTCCTGGTGGCCCAGCCTCTCCAGGTGCACAGAATCAGAGGGTCGTGGATGTGGATCCAGATCCTGCTTCCTCCTTTCCCCATGACCGTGGGCAAGTCATTTAATCTCTTTGAATCTCAGCGTCTTCCAAGGACAAGATGGAGAACGCCTGTTTAGCTGGTGATGTACTTTGAGGATTATCTGAGGAAATACTTGTGAATGTGTGGTTGTGTCCGGCTCTAAGTGGATCATCCAAGAACATTCATTCATTCACACACTGAAAGAGGAAAATTAAAGTTTAGCAATTGCCAAATAGATACCAGAAGCTCAGCATATGTCATTTTATCTTATCTTCAATGCCATTCTGTCAGTGGGGTATTGTTATCTCAGTTCATAGGAAAGGAAAGTTGAGTAACTTTCCCAAGGCCACACAGCTGGTAAACCAGAACTTGAACCCGGGCCATCTAAAGCCCAGTGTACGGGACTGAGGCTAATTGGCAGAGCCTGAATTCCAGGGTAAGTGGAAGCCTGGGCCGTGTGCTAAGCACACCATTTTTTTGCTGAAATTCAGAACCCATAAGAGAGTGAAGGAGGGGGAAAGTAGCCCGTACTTAGCAATCTCTGTGTGCATTGCTCTGTATATGCGTCACTGACTCATCTCACAAATGTTGATTGAATGCTTAAATGTACTAGGTTCTGGTTGCAGGAGAAATGGGTGGGACACCGTCCGTGTGCCTTAGCAACCTTGCAGAATAGGCGTTAACACCCCATTGCACACGAGCACACACTGAGGCTCAAGAGGATAAATAGATTGCCCACCAAGTCTGCTTGACAACAGAGTGGAAGGTCATGGCGTTCATCTCGGAGGAGGTGGGGAGACAGAAATATTTTTTTATAACAAGGTAATAGAATTTAATCCTGTTTTCTTCCTCTTCTTCTGTGCAGGTGACAAACAACTCTCAGTGCCTTCATCAAGCCGGCTGCTTCACAGGCACATCTCTGGTGACAGCCTGGGAGAGACTCAGTTCTAATTAAGGAGCATCACACACCATCCTTTCCGGAGGACAGTGGCAAAGACAGCTTCCCTCTGTCCTGCATTGCGACCCTTCCTTTGAGACCCTCCCCCACGAGGGACCCTGGAGTGTCACGAAGTTTAATTACCCCACAACCCCTTTGGATGGGAAAGGAAATCGCTGTTAAGTTTGATAAAGCTTCATCAAGAGATGTTATCAGCAGTTTAAAGATTGCTAACGAAGCAGGCTACTTTATTTCCTGAAAAGACAAATTATATGCAAGAAAAACCAACCCACCACGAGTGGTCCACGTGGCCTGTGACTATCTCGGGGTGATGTCAGGCACGCCCGGGTGGCCATCGCCCAGTGGAAGTGAAGTTGGCCGTAGCAGGCCTTGAGGCCCCCAGGCCTCCCCCGTTGCCTTGTGATCAAGCCTCCGTCTCTGGGATTTTTCTTCAAAGTTCCTCCCCAGTTCTTCGTGATTTCCTCCAGCCCATCACTGGGAGGCCCCATCAGGAAAGCAGAAATGGCGACCACGAGGAAAAGGATTCTCAAACTGCTCACCCTCCTCATCCTCTTCATCTTCCTCACCTCCTTCTTGCTGAACTACTCCAATACCATGGTGGCCACCCCCTGGTTCCCCAAGCAGATGGTCCTCGAGCTCTCTGAGAACGTCAAGAGGCTGATGCGGTATCCCCACAGGCCCTGCACCTGCGCTCGCTGCATCGGACAGCGGGAGGTCTCGTCCTGGTTCGACGAGAGGTTCAACCGGTCCATGCAGCCGCTGCTGACAGCACAGAACGCACTCCTGGAGGAAGACACCTATAACTGGTGGCTGGTGAGAGCTGGGGCTGAGTGTGGGGCTGGGGGCGGTGCGGGGGGGGCTCCCGGCTGCCAAACACTCTGGCCCTGCCAGGCACTGAGCAGGATTCAGAATCCTGGTCTTTCATTCATTCAACAACTCTTTACTGAGCATCTACTATATATGTCAGAGCAGGGGGACCTGTTTTAGTTTCCTGTGTCTGCTGTAACAGATTACTGCAAACTTGGTGGCTTATAACAACAGAAATGTACTCTCTCACAGTTCTAGGGGCAGAAGTCTGAAATCAAGGTGTCGGCCAGGTTGGTTCCTCCTGGAGGCTCTGAGGGAGAGTCCATCCTGTGCCTCTCCTAGCTCCTGAGGGTTGTGGCAATCCTTTGAATTCCTTGGCTTGTAGACACGTCCCTCCAATTCTGCCTCCATCTTCACGTGGCCCTCTGTCTCTCTCTGTCTGTGTCTGGCTAGCTAGGCCAGTGGGAACCTTCATCCCTCCCTGCCCAGGCCTTGGGGAAACGGGAAGGGAGGCGATGTCAGGGCCCAGGGCCCACCAGGCGGGCTGAAAGGAGACTTAGTTGACAACTGTGAGGTCCCCAGCTCCCATCCTGCCTCTGAGCTTCATATTCCCCAGCAGTCAATGGGCATCAGAATTCCAGTTAGCGAAGGAGACAGAGCAGATGAAAGTTCTAGCAGGAATAGGAAGACAGGAGCAATCACTCTCGGGTCAATTTATAAATTACCCACACGCCTTGCAAGCCAGGAGGCTGACGGCATCACACAGTGTGGCCTCCGGGGAAGGGCCCGTCCCGGGATGGACACACTGCCCTCCATCAGCCTGCCAGCCTTCTCATCCCAGATGCCAGGACGAGGGTCCCTTCTTCCCCAGTTCTGAGACAAGATGTGTAGCATGTCAAATCCTCCTCCCCGTTTACCGCAAACTCAGGACACAAGTGGATGGTGCCCAGGGAGCATTCTGAAGGGAGAGGGAGCCTGCGGCCACCTGCCCTTGGTCTCTGTCCTCTCCCCACTGGGGCATCTTCCCCGGCCAACATCCACGCTCAGCGCACAAGTGCACAATAAGGCCTCCCATCCTGTGCCAAGCACCACCTCTGGCCATGCCCTGGGCCAAGCTTTCCACGCACTGCCCCTCCCCTTCCCCAGAATCCTGAGGGCTTGTAAATATTTTGTTACCTCTAGTTTGCACTTCCTGGGGTCACCGGGCTGGGGAGGGGCCCAGTCGGGTCACATTCTAGTTAAAGGACACACTCTGAAGTAAGGCCGTGGTATGCAAACTGTCTGGAGGTCCTGGGCAATCCGCTTCACCTCTCCAAGCCTCAGTTTTCTCATCTGTAAGATGGGTACCTAACACCACCTTTCTCATAGGACAGTTATGGGAAATAAATGAGGAAATGCCTGTAAAGCTCTTCGCACAGGGCCTGGCATGTAAGGACCACAGAAGGCAGGCTTCCGCCTACGATGAGTCTCAGAGCCCAGCACGATGCTTTCTAAGCTCCTCCTGCCCAGCTCTTACCTCCCGCCCCACACAGTGCCTGGCGCGTGATGGCGGCTCAGTGGTGAGGGGTGGAATGAATGAATGAATGTGTATCAACCTGGCAGAGGTCATTCACTTAGCGAACATATGTCAAACATATGACACACATAACTGTGTGTCATGCCTGTGCTTGCTGATCCCATGTCGAGGGGGCCGGACACACAAGCCAACTGCAGCTGGGTCCCAGGAAGGCCCGTGCTGAGGGCCCAGAGGTGCTAACCACGTGTGTAAGGCCAGGGACCAATATTTCAGGGGCCCGTGGAGGCCTCCCAGAAGGTGTTGCATCGTGAGCTGGACCTGGAGGGAGGAGCAGGGTTCACTGGGCAGAGAAGGAAGGGAGGGTGGGAAAGGGAGGGTACCTCGTTCCAGCACTCTCAGGGTGGAACACGGGGTACAGAAGGCCGGCCATCGTGCCTCAAGGCGGGACAGTCTTCAGGGCTCCCATGGGATCTGGCGGAAGTGCAGGTGCACAAGGGAGGTGCCCACTCCTGGCCGTGCTCTGAGCACAAGAGTCCTCCTTAAACTGGGTGCCCCGGACACCGCTGGCCTCCCCCTGGTCCCAGCCTGCTGGACTGGACTCCTCCGATGGAGTCCACATCCGTCTCCCCTCATCCCTGCCTGCAGACTGTGCCCGCCCTGTGTGCCCGCATCCCTGTCTCGGCCTCTGCTTCCAGGCTCTGCCCTAAGACACTGCTTCCTCGAGGAGCCTGGACCACCAGGCAACAGGCACTCATTGAGCACGGACTGTGGACAGAGAAACACACTTGGAAACGAGTCAGGAAAAGCGAGCAGGGAGAGGGCGTCCTAGAACTTCTCACCATTCTCGCCTGTGGGCCTGTCGGCAGCCATGCAGTGCTTTCACTGTCATTTACAAAAGGCAGAGAAATCAGAATATTCCTTCCAAGGGGGACAGGGACGCAGCATTGACCCGCCTCACGTACCCAGCCAGTAAATGGATGCTTTAGGATCCTGACCCGCAGACACACAACTCGGTTTTCCCACCCGAGTTCCACCAGGCTCTGCCGGTGGTTGATGTGTTGACGTGCTCACCCTGGGGCCCAGACCCGTCCCTCTCTGGGCCTCAGGCTCCCCTTCTGCCAATGACGGGCTGGAACAGATCCGAGATTCTGAAGCATGCGGCCCGCAGCGTGATTCTAGGTGATACAAGGGCAGGGCGTTCCAGAACATTGCCTCACGGAGCGGAGCGAGGAAGTAATTCAGGCTTTAATTCTCTTTCCGTCTTTGCAGCACAAGGATTTTAAATTGGCCCGATGTTTCATTATGTACCTCTCTAACACCTGTCAATCTTCCTTCTGACGAAGACAGGGCAGCTTGCCTGGGCAAGCAACAGGATGGAGCTAGGACCAAATAATGTTTTGTTTTCATTGTATTATACAATTACTTTTTCATTTCTGCAAAGTAATGTTTTCCACTAGTGGTAGAGATGTGAGTTTCCTTTTAAGATAAACTTACTTTTTTTCTAAAGTGAGTCATTAAAGAAGAGAAGGTCAGTAATTGCCGGGAGAGACGATGCCGTGCTGGCGCTCCCCTGCCAGCCTTGAGTCTTCAAACCCCCAGGCCTCCGAGGCAAAGCACGCACACGTGTCACATAGTAGGTGCACAGTAAATATTGTTGGGCACTGGATTAAAGAATGCCACATTGGGGCCAGCCCTGTGGCATAGTGGTTAAGTTCACACGTTCCGCTTCGGCAGCCCGGGGTTTGTGGGTTCGGATCCCAGGCACGGACCTACACACTGCTCATCAAGCCATGCTGTGGTGGCATCCCACATACAAAGTAGAGGAAGACGGGCACACAGATGTTGGCTCAGCAACAATCTTCCTCAAGCAAAAAGAGGAAGATTGGCAACAGATGTTAGCTCAGGGCCAGTCTTCCTCACCGAAAAAAAAGAATGCCACGTCACTTCTTAATCCACCATGCAATGTCACGCTCCCCAGAGACAGTGACACAGATGGAGGATGCGCTCTGGTCCTGAGTTCATCTTCACAATGTTGGGGTGCACAGGGGCCTTTCCTGGGTGGGGTTCTCCAGGAGTTTCCTGCAGGGGAGTTTGCCCCAGGGGTTCTCAGAGTGGGGTCGCTGAACCCCCAGCAGCGACATCTCCTGGGAGGCTGTTAGAGATGCAGAATCTTGGGCCCAGCCCAGCCCTTAGAGTCAGATCTGCACCTTAGTGAGATCCTGGATGATCACACATTCAGGAGATCCTATCAAAAGCAGGTGCTTAATCTGGATGTTGGTTTATTTTATTGTGGTAAAATATATGTAACATAATATTTGTCATCTTAACTCTTTATAAGCGTACAGTTCAGTGGCATTCAATACATTCACCATGTTGTTTAACCATCACCTCTATCTGTACTCGGGGCTTTTCCATCAACCCCAGCAAAAACTCCATACCCAGTAAACACTAACTCCCCCTCAGCACTCCTCCCAGCCCCTGGCAACCTCCATTCTACCTTCTGTCTCCATGAATTTGACTACTCTAGGTACGTCATGTAAGTGGAATCGTACAATATTTATCCTTCTGTGTCTGGCTTATTTCACTGAGCATAAGGTTCATCCATTTGTAGCATGAATCCAAACACCCTTTTTCATGACTGAGTAATATCCCATTGTATGTATATTCCACATTTTGTTTATCCATTCATCCATCAGTGAGCACTTGGGTTGCTTTGACCTTTTGGCTGTTGTGAATAATGCTGCTGTGAACATGGGTGCATAAATAACTGTTTGTGCCCCTGCTTTCAATCCTTTGTCAATACTTAGGAGTGGAAATCCTGGGTCATATGGTAGTTCTATGTTTAACCTTTTGAGAAACCACCGACCTGTTTTCCACCATGGCTGCACCATTTTACATTCCCACCAGCAATGCACGAAGGTTCTAGATTCTTCACGTCCACACCAACACTTGTTATTTTCCCTCTTTTTTATTATACCCATCCTGGTGTGAAGTGTGGTCTGGGTCCTGTTCCTGTTGCCTGCGGCTGGTGCAGTGTCTTATGCTAGAGGAGGTGCTAGACGATTTTAACCAGAGGAGCCATCCGGGTCTCCTGGTGTGCCTCTCCTTTGGGGACCCTGGTCCATTCCATCCCAGGTGGGGACCGGATGCCCTTGGATCTCCCTACACACAACCCGGTCACTATTCCTAGACAATGTCTATTTCCTAGACAATGACCAAAGCAAATGCTAGCCTCTCCTTTCTCTCCAGCCACTCCCATGTCCCTGGAGCTGGGAGTGACTGATGGGACTCACCCCACAGCCACCTCCCGCCCCCCAACCCCAGGGAGTTGGCTTTCCAAAGGTCAAGGTTCCAGGGGTCTGAGGCAGGAGTGATATCGTGGGAGAAACTTTAAGGCAGGTTTCTAAAAGCCTGGGTTCAAATCCTGGTTTGGATTTGGGACACTGGGCTCCACCAGTCTGGGCCCCAGAGCATCCTTCATCCACAGTTGAAGTGACAGAGTCAGAGGGAGTACCTCTTAGGAAATGTCTCCAGGTTTCACTATGAATAAGGAAGTAAGCTGCATCGACAGTTGTCACTACGCAGTGCGGCCGAGCTCCACCTGAGGGCGAGGGAGGACGTGGGAGTGCAGGGAGGGCATCACTGGGTGACTAATTCATCCTACTTTTAGTTCTGGAAGTCCTGCCTCCGGGGAAACCCTCAGTCCTGAGCCAACCAGAATGGCTGGTCACCCTCGGGATAAAGCCAGTGTTCGCCTGGGGGTCAGGGAGGCCCTGGGGCAGCTGTCCCTTGAGCTAGGTCTACGAGGCTGGAAACAGTTTGCTAGCAGATATTGGAGGACTTGATGCATCCAGCAAAGGGCTGATTTTTGGGCCAGAGCCCAATTATCCTGGGGCGGGAGAGTGAGGGGGGCAGAGGCAGGGGAAGTGGGCACGGAGTGTCATCCGACTCTGCTCTCACGTGCCTTACTCATATCAGCCAGTCTTGTTGCCTCAAGTGGCCAGAGCAGTACCTAGCACATAGTAGGTACTCAGTGAACATTTGCAGAACGAAGTGGCTGGAAGGGGAAGTGGCTGTCTGAGCCTCTTCAGTCTCCAGGTGCCCAGCAGAGAGAAGGGTACTGGGCAGGGCCCAGTCAGCAAAAGTGGGGAGCTCGGGGCCCAGCAGCAGGGCGGCTGAGCCCCCTGGCCAGAGGCAGCACAGCCAGGCTGACCTGTGTCCTTCTGTCCTCTGTCCCCAGAGGCTCCAGCGGGAGAAGCAGCCCAACAACTTGAACGACACCATCAAGGAGCTGTTCCGAGTGGTGCCCGGAAACGTGGACCCCCTGCTGGAGAAGAGGTCGGTGGGCTGCCGGCGCTGTGCCGTTGTAGGCAACTCGGGCAACCTGAAGGAGTCCTGGTACGGGCCACAGATAGACAGTCACGACTTCGTGCTGAGGTGAGTGCCCAGACCCTCACCCCAGCCCACCTCGCCGCACCCAGGGGCCCCTTGGAGCTGCAGGAGGCATCTTGGCTCAGGGTCAGGAGGTCAAGTTCCCAGTCCTGGTGAGCCCACACTTACCCGGGGACCCCAGGCCTCTCACTGCACCCTCCGTGCCTCAGTTTCCCCATCTGTGCATTGCAGGCTGGAGATGGACTAGCAGAGAGGAAACCAAGCACGGGAGGTAGCCAGTGGGCCAGGAGCTTGGCATCGAGAGGGCTGGTGAGAGGGCAAGATTAATTCGAAGACTTGTTTAATCTTTAAAATTCATTCCCATGTTGCAATCTAGGCCATAATATAACCATATGCTTTTAGTGTAAAACATATTTCCCTGTCACTCAGTGAAATAGATATTCCAGGAAGATGCCCCACATCTCTCTGGAGTTTCTTGTCATCTCCCCCCCACCATTCAATCGACCCAGTGGCCCAAGTGCCCCAGCACGAGAAGCACAAGCAGCGGTGAGCCTGGCAACCCCCAGGCACCTTCTAGAATGGTCTCCTGTTTCTGTGATCTCTGATTTTGTCCTCAGACCACTCACCTGGCCTCTCGGAGCCTCAGTGTGCCTGGCGCCCAGTGGGAATGTCCGTGGTGGGGGGAAAGAGGCAGGGTCAGAGTCAGACAGACCTGAGTTCAAGGCTGCCTCAGATTCCTTTGACCATGAAATACCTACTGAACACGGTTATCATTAAGGTGAATGAGATGTGTCACCTGGCCACGGCAGTGCCTGGTGCGCAGTAGGTCTCAGTGGTGGCGATGGTTAGGCTCACTCGAGATGGTAAACTAGAAAAATATCATGAGAACCTTTGAGCTGTGTCGGATTGTCTCCATTTGACAGATGAGGATTAGGGCCCGGGGAAGGAGGGTGCTGTGCCCAAGGTCGCCCCGCGGGCTTGTGGGGCTAAAGCTGACCCTCAGAATCAGTGCCCGTGTGATGCGATGCGCGTCCTTCTCTCCTTCTCCTCCCAGGATGAACAAGGCCCCCACAGCGGGGTTTGAGGCCGACGTGGGGAGTAAGACCACCCACCATCTGGTGTACCCCGAGAGCTTCCGGGAGCTGGCGGAGAACGTCAGCATGGTCCTTGTCCCCTTCAAGACCACCGACCTGGAGTGGGTGGTCAGCGCCACCACCACGGGCACCATCTCCCAGTAAGTACCTGGAGTGGGTGGTCAGCGCCACCACCACAGGCACCATCTCCCAGTAAGTCCCCTCGGGCGTCTGGATGGACGGTGCACTGGCCCGCCCCTCTGCTCCTCCTCGCTGTGTGGGCACCTCCCGGCCCCCAGCATGCCGTTCCGTTTCCCCCACTGCAGCCTTGCTCATGGTGCTCCTCTGCGGGAATGCCTCCCCTCCCCAAGGTTCCTCCTGGAATGACGAGCCCCTCAGCCCACAGGCGCCCCCCGACCCTCCAGTTCTCCCTGGTCCCTCTCCTCCCATCACGCTTAACACACCTAGATCTTCCGCCTCCCTCCCCCTGATGACTCCCGAATAGACCTCCAAGACTTGCTTCCCCAAACTCTGGAAGCTCCCGGGAGGGAGCACCCCCCTGGGAAGGACTCAGCACGTGCCAGTTCTGACCCCTTCCTTATCTCTGCCATGCTCCTCGATGATGACAGCCCCCTGCCTTCAAACTGTAACAGTGGCCCTAGGTGGGCAGGGAGACCAGCGTCGAGCCCGTCAGCTCCGAGTCTCCCTGCGCTGCCTGCAGAGTGGGGGGTGGGGGAGGAGCTGCTCACATCTTCTGAGCGTCTGCTTTGTTCCGGGCTCTGCCCTCGGCATTCGGCACGTGCTGTCTCACTGATTCTCATGATGGTTATTAGTGCCCCCATTTCCCAGGGAGACACAAGCTTGTCCTACCCAAGATGAACTCTGCACAGAGCCAGGCTCGCACGTGGGCCCGATTCCTGAGTCCCTTCTCTTCCTGGAGAGAAGCGGCTTCAACGTCCAGATGGCCAAAAGCCTCCTTGTGGGAAGCCTTGAGGGATTGGTGCACAGGAAACCGGGGGGCTGAGCTCTCAGGAGAAGGCAGTGAGGGGAGCGGGCTCGGGCAGAGGGGGAGCCGGGCCTGGCCTGGGCTTGGCTGCCCTCTCCTTCTGCCCCGTCCCACAGGCTCGGGTGTGTGAATTGCACCAATTGGACCTAACATAAGGCCAGGTGGCCGGGCATTTACACCTTCACCTTGGGGTGCGTATAACCTTGCAGATGAAAAGGGGGCCCTGTGGACCTCACCAGCCGGCACCCCAGCAGTAGGGGGTCGGGCTCGGGCTTCTGCTGTGCCCCCTCAGGCTGTGTGGAGGGCCTAGGGCAAGTGTCCCTTCTTAACCCTCTGGGAGAAGGTGCAGGAAGCAGCAGCAGGTCCTGGAATTAGCCAAGCTCGCCCTCTGGTGTCTGTAGTGGGCTGCTGCTGCAGGCGGGGACTCGCTGTGGCCGGGAAGTGGTGTCCTGGAGACAATGCCTGTGCCTCCCCCTCCTGCCCTGCCCCCCGCTCCAGCATCACTCCAGAGCTGCAGGCAGGCAGCCAGCCCGCTCCCCACTTACCCACCTGCTCTTTCTCCCGCTGCAGCACCTACGTTCCTGTGCCCGCAAAGATCCAAGTGAAAAAGGATAAGGTGAGTCGGGGCTCAGGCCCCTTGTCCTCTGGGCTCGGGCTCACTTTTAAGGCTCTGTGCCATGATGGAGAGCGCCCTCTCTCCCCTCTCCGCCAGCATCCACTGCGGGGAGCCCCTGAGCCCCCCGGTGGTGGAAGGTAGCCCGCACTCAGCTTCCCTGCTGGAGAGAATCAAACCCTGGGAAAGGTTCCCCAAGTGGGGACCCCGGACCAGATCCTCAGGCCCACCCCAGATCTACTGAATCAGAAACGCTGGGTTTTTACGAGCCCTTCTGGGATGCCAGATGCAGTTTGAGAACCTCTGCTCTACAATGTGAGCTTCTCAAAGCCAGACCTCGCCTCCTGTCTCCATATCTCCATCTTCCCCAGTGGGCCCTGCTATGGGGTTGGCCAAGACATGAGCAAAGGGCAGAAGGGTGAAGGAAGGGAAGGGTCCACCGCACTGGTCCCTTGCACACGCTGTCATGTTTAGATGGGGAGATCAGGTCAGAGAGGTCAGGTCAGTTGCCCAGGGAAACACAGCTAGTTCTCGATACGGGTGGAACTGAAGTTCTCCCCGTGCCCCAGCACCTGCCTTTTGCAGGGGTCTGTGCTGCAGCAGGGAAGAAGCCACATGCGAATCTCGAGGGCAGAGTCGGTGGAAGGGAGAGCCTCCCAGTGATGGCAGTAGCCTGAGGCCAGGCTGAGAGACAACAGCTCAGCAGAGAGACCTGCGTCAGTCTCCACTGCAGTCCACTGCTAGGCTCCCTGGCCGTGCACACCCTCTGCTGTCTGAGAAGTCCCCTCCGCTGTCCTCAAGGCAGCTGTGGACCGTGGAACCAGGGCCAGACTGGACACCAGGATATTCCCAGCTCAGCCCCCGCTGGCTGTGTGACACTGAGCATGTCACTCAGCCTCTCTGAGCCTGTTTCCTCACCTGTAACAAGAGGAGAGGGAAAGCTAGTACACGGGGTCATTTTCAGGACTGGAGATCATTCAGGCCCACATCAGGCAAGATGGGTGGCTCAGTGCCTGTGTGTTCCTGCAGTGTACAGGAGGGTCCTTGTCCCCACCTCATGCTGTTCCCTGGAACCTCCTCCCGCAGCCTCGCATCTGGCTCCCTGGCCTCATTAGATGGTTATTCAGATGTCACCTTCTCACCCCGTGCTTTATTGCCTTTCTCTGCTGTATTTCTCTCCGAGGTGCTTTTCCAGCATCCTCTGTCTTCATGATTGAGGTTACTGCCCATCTTTTCCCCCGAGAACATCAGCCCCACGAGTTCTGCTCGCTGTGGGTCCCCCATGCCCACAGCAGTGGGTGGCACCTAACAGGTGCTGGGTGTCCTGTGCCAACCGCCTCTCCCCTCCCGCAGATCCTGATCTACCACCCGGCCTTCATCAAGTACGTCTTCGACACCTGGCTGCAGGGCCACGGGCGGTACCCGTCCACCGGCATCCTCTCGGTCATCTTCTCCCTGCACATCTGTGATGAGGTACGCCCCCTCTCCCCTGCGCCCGCCGGGGGGCCAGGGCTCCTCATTCCCTGTTCCCAAGAGAGGGCCGAGGGTGTCGGCGGCCAGGCTGACCCCATCCTCCCTCCAGGCCCCAGCACAGCCCGTCTCTTCTGGGAGCTCAGATTCCTTTCTCTACAGTGGGGCGTGCAAAGCCTCTCTCATAGGGTGTTTTAAGGAGCAGCAGTGTTCTGTGAGTACGTTCTCAGGAGCAAGAGTTCTGGGTCATTCTGTGTGAGGTCGCAAGGCAGAGCTGGACCAATGGGCGGAAGCTCAGATTTGGAGGCAAAAAAAAGGAGCAGATTGTCTCAGCGAGAGTTATCCGAGGCTGTGGGTTTAGTCTCGGCTGCTCATTAGAATCATCTGTGGAGGGAAACCCCAACACCCAGGCCACACCCCAGCCCACTGTCATCAGAATTTCTGAGAGTGGGAACCAGGCACCCAGGGAGTCCGCTATTCCGTGAGATTGAGAACCTGTGATCTTGCGAAGCATTTGCTTCCCATGATGCACTGGCCTCACCATCCGCCAGGCTGTGCCTGGGTTTCCATTGATGATCTGGGGTGCTCGCTGCTACCCTGGGCAGAGGAGCAGGACGGGGGTCACAGCGCCCACCCCCCACTAGGTTCAGGCAGGGCACTCCTATGTCCCTTCTTGTCACATATGGCTCCTCCCTCCCCCACCTGGCTCACGGTTGGAAATCCTAGGGAGAGGTGCAGAGGGTGGCAAGGCACATCCACCACCTCTGCCTCGGTTGTTCTGTCACCATCCCCCCGTCTCTTCAGCCAGAAACCTGGGTGTCCCTCCCAGAACCCTATCTCCCTCTCATCTGCACCCCCAATCCCCAGCCTGCTGGTCACAGACCCATGGGGTTCTGCCCCATCTCTTCTCCCCTGCTCTGGGGCAGGCCCGTGTCCATGCCGGCATTTACCAAAAAGGCTACGCTGGCCACAGAGACATCTCCTGCCCCTGGTGGGCCCCCCGCGCTCAGATCTGTCCTCCACACAGCAGCCCAGGTAGCATTTCCTCTCCCTGGAAGCCCCTCCCCATGTCTCTTCCTGGTCATTTTCTGCTCATTTTCCAAGACCCAGTTCAAATGTCTCCTGCCCGGATGAGCTCTCTGACCTCTCCGGTCATCAGCCCCTCCTTCCTCTGTGCTGTGGGAGCCCTGACATTAGCTCCTGTCTGTCATTTGCCACTCATGATGCTTGTCATAAGTTATAAGTGCCAAGGGCTGAGACCTGACTCCCGAGTCCCTAATTTCCCAGCATCCACCTGTGGCCGGCCAGCTCTCTGATGTGTTCAGCCCAGAGCTTGGCACAGAATAAGTGCTCAGTAAATGCTTGTCACGTGTGTGAAAGGCCCCCCGCCCAGGTGGACGTTAGCCTAAGGGAAGAAAAGGATCAGCACCCACCAGCTGCCTCACTGTGATCGTTAATCTCAGCCCCATTTTCCAGACGAGGAAACCGAGGCTCAGAGAAGCGCTTTGGCACTCGCAGGGCTGGGATTGGGGCAGCCTGCTGGGCTTCACAGCCCTGCTCTCCTCTCTACTCCACTCCCTCCGTCCTAGCTCCTCAAGCCTTGGAGAGGAGGTTGTACCTGCCCCAGAGGTGAGACCCAGCACCCTCACGGCCACCCACAGGCATAGCCTCCCACCGTGCCTTCGGGCACTGGACTTTTATTTAACTCGCTTTGGCTTCCCCAAGCCCCTGGGAGTCCCAGGAACCTAGAGAGGGGCCTCTGTGAATCCCTGGGAGTGGTGTTTACAGATTCCGGGGGTGCCTGCCTGCTCCCTTCTTAGAGGTTCTGCCTGCGGCCCCGCTGTCTGGGTCTCACCGTTGCTCTGCCCTGCAGGTGGACTTGTACGGCTTCGGGGCAGACAGCAGAGGGAACTGGCACCATTACTGGGAGAACAACCCATCGGCGGGGGCTTTTCGCAAGACCGGGGTGCACGATGGGGACTTCGAGTCCAACGTGACGGCCACCTTGGCGTCCATCGACAAGATCCGGATATTCAAGGGAAGATGACACTGCGAAGGGTTAAGGGCTGATGCACCAGAGCGCGCCTCTCGAGGTCCAGCCCCAGCGTCTCGCCGGAGCCATTCCGTCTATGGAGCTCCGAGGGCCAGCCTTGAGGGTGCGCCCAGGTGCCTCTTGCAGCCTCTTGCACCCCAACTTTTGGCAGCATCTACTCAGCAAGGTCGCCGAGCCCTGCCAGGGCTGCAGAGCAATCTCAGAACTGGTCTCTGGTGGGGAGAAGCTCCTTGCTGCTGTCCCGGGGCCGGGGAAGGTGGGGAGACAGACGAGGGAGAGGTCCAGTCTCCAAACGCTGAGGTCATTTTGGCTTCTGGGAATCAGGGGGAGCAGATACAGAGGACGCTCATATTCTAAAGGAAAGGATGGCTTCCCAGGGAAGATGGTCCAGGGCTGACACTCACACTGATTCTCCCTGGGCTGTTTGTGAGTGAGGATGACCTCCAGGACAGAGCCACGTCGGGCCACGTAGGCACTGGGGGCAAGGTGACACCTTTCTTTGCCCGATGCCTGGCCTGTGTCTCACTTGGCGTGACAACCCCATCTCCCCTTTCTTCCCAAAGCTCATTTATGGTGGCCAGAAGAGGCTCCCCACCCCGAAGGTCTTCACCGACACTTGGCAAGGTGTCTCCGACTCCAGGAGTTATCTTCTTCCCAAGCTGACGTTCCCTTGAGTAATGGATCTTTCTGGTTATAACATGGCTGAAAGCAGATCTGACTATTTCCACGTGCCTTTGTATTTCGGGGAGAAATGCATGCGTTGGCTGAAAGGAGGCGAAAGCCCCGACTCAGGAAAGGGGACCCCTGGTAACGGCCCCCTGTGGCTCTGTAGCTGGGGACATCTTTCCTAGTTTCCTGAGCCAGAGCCTGAGTTGGAACAAAGCTCGGATGACACTCGATGCATCCAGAGGCGCCTCAGCCGTGGACGGTCACTCATTTTCACAGACCGTTGGCGTTGGTGCCCATAACCTTCCAAGGCCACACGGAGAGCCTCTGCCAGCCAGCGTTTCCCCCCAAGGGCCCGAGCTCTGGCCCTGCTGGCCGCCTGTGTGGTGTCCTGGGGGCCGGGGGGCCATCCTAGGAGCGTGACCGTCAGGGCGGGCTATGTCATACCTCATCCTCTCACTCCCCGGCTGCTCTTTCTTCCTCGTCAGCCTTCCTGATTATTTATTGATTTTTTTTTTAATTCAGCCGACATTGTGTGCACTTTGTGGCTCTGTTGCTGGACCTGGTGTTTTGATTAAGCTCACTCTTGCCTCATCCAGCAGCTGGGGAATGGGGTGCTTAAAGCGAGGTTTGCGGGAATCCTTGGACTTGGGGCCTGGGGGCTCACTGGGGGCAAATCCTGGGGTGTCAGGTTGGTAGGTTTGGGGAATGCTCTGAATCTCCTTCCCTTCCAGCCCCACTTCCTTCTTTCTCATTGTGGACTTGGATAAAGTCTCAGGTTAGGAATCTCCAAACCTCAGTGGAACCTGCTTGGGGCCAGGTGGGGAGTAGAGTCACAGGTGTAACGATAGTGATTGTTGGCTCCAATACTGACATGTAATCAGAAAAGCCACTTTTCCTGTTGACAGCATTTCCTAAAAGGCCACTGCTGCTTTGGGGAGGTGTGACAGTCTCCTGGCGGAGTGTGAAGGATGCCAGTCTTGGATGGAAGCCAAGGGGCCTGCCTCCTCCCTTCCCTGCAGTGCTCCATCAAGTCCTGCTCTCCCCGGCCTCTGTTTCTCCCTCTGCAAATGGGGAGGGAGGAATTATGGGAGCCTAGGGGCCACATGGCATCATGTGAATCACAAGAGTGCCCAGAAGTTGCGCACGAAGTTTGTTTATTTCCCCGAGTCTGTGCATATGAGCATTTTCCTGGGGACAGGTTCCAAAGCTTTTATTAGATCTCGAAGATTTAGAATCCCGAAGTTTTTTTTTTTTTAAAAACTGTTCCAGCTTTAAAATCCTTCAACACTTAAGCCTCTCTTGACTGATAAAGGCTCGTAAGTCGCTATCAGGTCATCACAAATCCTCGAGGGCTGGAGGTCATGGCAGTCCTTGATGTGAGGGACTCAGCAAGCATCTGCAGGCTCGCTGGTTAATCCTAAGGACGTATCTTGAGAAAAATGGATGCCAAGACAGGGAGCCGTGTGGAGTCTCAGGCACTTTCCCTTCTCCTGTGAGCTGAGTCTGTTGAGGGGTGTCAGGGTCAGAGAGAGCAACCTGCTTCTGGGCTTTGCTGTGTCAGAGCAGGTCCCCAAAGGGGGGACGTGTCCACGGCTGAGCTCACACAGCCCGGCCTGCTGTCTGGTCCCGGTCCCGTCTCTCCCTCCCTCCCTCTAGGCTTTTCAAGCTGTGAGATGTTTTCCAGACTGCAGAGTCCAGATCTCCCGTTTTACAGATGAGAAAAACAAGGCCCAGAGAAGGGAAGTGACTTGCAGAAGTGAACCAATTGTGGCAGATAGCACAAGTCAAACAGATTTTGAGCAAAAATAGGACGTTATTGGCTCCATGTTGAAAACATCCAGAGGCGGGCTTCCTTAGCCGGGCTCCACTAGCATCTCAAAGACCTGTAACCGGGTGCAGGTGTCTGACCCTGCTCTGCCTCTCGCTGCCGAGCTTCCTCCCTAGGCTGCCCCTCTGCTCCCCCAGCAAACCGTAGTCCCTGCCTCCTCACAGCGTCCCTCCAGTGGAGGAGACAGCACTGCTCTTTCCCTGAGCGCCAGCAGACGTCTCCTTATGTCGCACTCGCTTAGCAATGGGCACTTACCCCAATAAAGGCCAGCCTTTGTGGCTGGGATTAAGTGCATCCATTGGGTTAAGCCAGTGGGGGCCATACCTGGGTGAGGGTGGCTGGGAATCGGACAAGAGTGTCTTCCACACGGCCCACGATCAGCAGGAGAACGAGAAGCACCCACGCGGGGAGGCTCTCGTGTGTCCACTACACACAGCTGGACTCCGTGTGGCCCCGGGCAGGGAACAGTGGGTCCCCACCTGCAGTCTCAGCAACAAGATGTCTCAGCAGCATCCCAGCCTCTGTCTCCCCCCCAGGGAGCCAGGAGGCTGATTCTCTCGAGCTGGAGGCACCTCCAGCAGAGGTGACATCTGCACCCACCTCCCCCCGGGAGCCCCTGCCCTCACCCACCTGTTAGGGGAGAAAGGGGGGCGGGTGTGTAGCCTCTGACTCCTGGATCGATCAGGGGCAGAGAAGAAAGTTCTTAAATTGATGCCTTTTGGAACTCTGGCTTCATCAGCTATTGTCTAGCAAACCACACAGGCTGTGCTTAGAGGGAAAGCTGATACAAGAGAATAGGACATGAAATAGAGGAGCCGGACGAGAAGGTGGGGAGGGCAGCTCTTGTAGCCAGAGGCTTGATGGCGCCCCAGTCTCTGCTGTGGCCAGGAGGGGCTGCGAAAGGCTAGTCCCGCCTCTGGGTGACCTGGGCCTCTGGTGCCAGTGGAATTGAATCACGGAGAACATTTAGAACCGTCAGGTTTGCTTTAACTGTCCTCTTCAAGGCAGCCTGAACACACAGAAAAATAGAAAACTGAAAAGAGCTCACTGTTCCTCACGTGGGTGTGATGGAAATGCTTCCTCCAGGGCAGGCCAGCCCTGAGTGGCCGCTGTCCAGCTGGAGATGGCTGGACGCTGGCCACGTGCCACCAGGAACCAGCAACTGTCCTCGCCCCTCCAAAGGGCTCGGGGCTCTCATTGTGTCACGGGAGACATCGGGTTTGCAGCCAACACGTGGCCCCCACTAGCCATCCTCCCCTGTGGTCGGGACTAACAGGTTTCCAGATGGAATCCTCTTTCCTCCTCTTGTTGGTCATGAAAACATCAGCTCGGGGCTGGCCCGGTGGTGCAGCGGTTAAGTGCGTGGGCTCCGCTGCTGGCGGCCCGGGGTTCACAGGTTCTGATCCCGGGCGCGCACCGAGGCACTGCTCGTCAAGCCATGCTATGGCGGCGTCCCATATAACGTGGAGGAAGATGGGCATGGATGTTAGCCCAGTCTTCCCCTGGAGGAAGGTCTTCTTCAGCAAAAAAACACATCAGCTCTCCTGCCCCCGGGGCGCTACATGACACCTCTGTGCAAAGAAAGGAAGAGAGACAGGAGGAACAGCAGAGACAGGCCAAGCGCATCTCAGTTTGTCAGCATCAGGGCGTTAGGAACGTTTTTCGTACCAAAAGCGCCAGAGAACACCATGTGTCCTACAGACAGACAGCCCGCCCCCGGCCTCCTGTGTTCCCTCCCAGCCCCTCAGAGGTCCACACACCTTTGACCTGACCCCATTGCTTAGCTTCTGTCATAGTTCAGAACTGCCACTTGTTGCCCACCTGCCGTGGCCCAGAGCCAGACGCCAGCTTCCCCGCAGTGTCAGGACCCCGCCCCGTAGGATCCCCGTGGGGGCACAATCACGTTAGCATGTCACTGAATTCATGGCAAAGCCAAAGCTTCCTGAGCACTTTCTCTTCTTTGGAATCTTGTTCGGTTGGTTGTTGGTGTTTTAAAATCTGCTTTCTTTTCCCCCAGCCTCGCTCCGTGGCTGGCAGCGGAGCGTTAAGCTGGATGCGTTTTGAATGAAGTTAGCAAGAGTCTGCCTTCCTCGGCCTCTGCTCTGTTTTATTTATTGTTGAACATTTCCAATGATCCGAATCAAAGTGAATTAAAAAAAGAGCTATTTTATTGTTTGGGTGTGTTTGTTGTTTTCCTCTGAGGGCCCTACGTTGGTGCTGCCCCTTGTTTCCACTCAGGAGATCTTTTCAGTCCTAAAAAGGCACAATGTCTCACCTCCTGAGGGCCTCCTGGGTTAGTGTCCGCCCCAAACAAGTGGCCAGAGGCTCAGGAGACGGGGAGTCAACCTCTGCTCAAACCCTGCTGTGTGACGGCGGCAAGTCACCTAACCTTTCTCAACCTCAGCTGCCTTATCTGCCAAATGGGTGCCACAATACCGGCCATCAGAGGGGGTGTGAGATTAAGAATAAAAGCATCTCCTGAGGGGATCCAAGGCAGCTGCCCTGAGCATGTGCAGAATGAAATCGCCTCGGCCAGGGCCTAATGTGGGCCCAGTTAGCGTCCATCCTTTCCCAGTAGATGGTCACATCCATGGATGGATGCAAGTCTGGCTCGAAGCTGGCACAAATCTCCCATTTGTTTGTTTTAATAGATCCAGAAATCCAGTACTGGGACTCAGTAATGTAAATTTGGTGTAAATGATAACACCTCCCAGTTTGTGTGGTACTTCACAGTTTGCACAACCCTTCCCTCGGTATGATCTTGAATTTTCACAATGGCCTGCAGGGCCCATGGATGC